GGCCCGGAGCCCTTCGCTTCCTGTGGCGATGCCACGGGCCCGGGCGAGCGTCGCTCTTGAAGACCCCCGCTTCAGAAGCCACGGCCAGCCGTCCACTCAGGGGACGCTGTTCAGCCGGCAGCCTGTGGCTGAGCTGCGGTGGGCCGCTGCTGGCCGCTCTTGCCTGGACGCCCCGCTCCCGTGGAGCCTGTCCGGGAGGAGACACTGGCCGGCCTCTCCCTGCAGCCGCCGACCGAAGCCCGAGGTCGCTCTGGCCGAGGCAGATCGATACCGAAACATGTTTTTCTAACTTTTCTAGGTGAAAATGAATTACTGAAATTCTCTTACATCCGGACACATTTCGACAAGATCTTGCTGAGATGGGAGCCATACTGGCCCCCCGACTTCCGGGACCTCCTGGGGTTCATGCTCTTCTATAAAGAGGCGTGAGTACAAGAGCAGGGCGGGGCCGAGCCGAGGGCGCTGGTGTGGGCGGCCCGGGCCCCCCCGGGCGACGAACCCGTAGCCGCACGAATGCCGGGCTGTCCAGTCGGAAGAGGAGCCTCCGGCTGCCCTGGCGCGGCAGCCGTGTCCTGTGGGCGGGACGAGGTCGCTGCTCGCCGCGTCTCGCTCGGCAGCCACTGGTCTGCCCGGGGGCTGCGGCGTCCCGAGCCAACCTTCCGCCGTACTCCGGCCCGCGGCTTCGCGCTGTGCCCCTCGCCGGGGGCCGGGTCTGCAGCCTCCCCGGGTGAACTGTCCCGCGGACGTGCGGGTTTGGCTGTGTCGCTGTGCCGGGGGCCCGCAGGGGTCAGGGACGCTCACAGGACGTGCTGCTGGCAACACGGGCCGATGTGTCGGCCTGCGCCGGGCGCTGCCACACACTCACCTGTGCCCGCCACACGTGCCCACCTGTGCCCGCTGCTCACCTGTGCCCGCCACACGCGCTCACCTGTGCCCGCTGCTCACCTGTGCCCGCCACATGCACCCACCTGTGCCCGCTGCCCACCTGTGCCCACCACACACGCTCACCTGTGCCTGCTGCTCACCTGTGCCCGCCATACGCCGTCACCTGTGCCTGCTGCTCACCTGTGCCCACCACACGCCCTCACCTGTGCCTGCCACACGCCATCACCTGTGCCTGCTGCTCACCTGTGCCCGCCACATGCC